GCTGGATCAAGCTATGATGACTCCAATACATAAATCTGGAAGACTCTATGGGGACTAAACATTAAACACAAAATTAAACTTTTCATATGGAAGTGCATTACCAACACACTGATCCCAAAGACTCCTTGCTGGGTTGTGAAGTTCCTAAAAACTCATCTTGATTTTGGCAAAGCATTATGGCTACGAGGGATGTAGTTAAGGGGGGAATACTGAGGAGAGTAAGTACAAGAAAGAGCATCAACATCTAGAAGGATAACTGAATTCCAAACAACCCAAATGGGAGACCAACAACCATGAGACCAAAGAATTGGGAGGAACAGAAAGTGGAAGAACTAATAACTAATTCAGATGGAATAGGAATGCTATATCAAGAAATTCAACATGGCTGATACTGAGAATATACTAAAATTTTCAATTAGCATTTCAAGAAGGGCTGACAAACACTTCTAGATTCATAGCAGGCAAAGGGAGTATACTGTAAAGTCATGTTACAAAGTACTAATGAAGGAGGAAAGGAGACGGGAAATAGAAGGAAAATGAGAGGCCGGATCAAGCTATGATGACTCCAATACACAAATCTGGAAGACTCTATGGGGACTAAACATTAAACACAAAATTAAGCTTTTCATATGGAAGTGCATTACCAACACACTGACAGCCAGAGAAGCAATATTCAAAAGAACCAAGCAAGGCTCTCCAATATGCTCAAGGTGTGGTGATCAAATGGAAACAATAGAACACATATTATTTCATTGTCACTAGACAAAATAGGTTTGGCAGCTAGCACTTGTTCAGTGGGATGGAATCCAGAACCAAACAGGGTGTTTCAAGAAGTGATGGGTAGCATTAGTTCAAGCTAGAAACAGGAAGGCAAGCAACACATAGCCTTGACTGCTAATATCCTTTGGCAATGACGAAAGGACAGGAATGAAATGGAGTTTGAGGGAAGGATAATGAAAGAATAAGAATAGTTCAGAAAGCTAGCATAGAATGGATGGAGTATGAGGACTCTGGTAAAGGAGAGGGAACTAGAAGTATACTAGAAACAAGTGAAGCAGATGCAAGGGTGAGGGAGGAAGGAAATGGGGAAGGGGAATATGTGGAACTCCAGATAGCTACAAAAAGCTCTAAAAAAGATTATAAGCTAGGAATTGGTATTATAGCCAAGCTAAATGAAGCTCTACCTAGAGCTGAATGAGCTTTGGTGAAGAGAAGCTCACAACAAGAAACTCAACATGAAGGTGAAGCTGTGAGACTGGCCCTGATGAAAGCAAGAGAGATGAGATGGTTACAGATCAAAATTTCAAGTGTGAACAAACATCCCATTGCTTTGATAAAGTCGGGCATAGGAGATGATACCTATATGGTCATACTAGTAGAAGACATTATAGCACTAGCTAACTTGTTTCAATTGTACTCTTTTTGTGTAGGAAATTCCAATAGTATAAATCATTGTAATAGGTTTAGCCTTTATGCATTAAGCATACTTAGAGATGAGGAGAGAACTTTTGCTACTCCTTAAGTGTCATGGTACACTTTGTATAGTTGATTGAGCTATTGCTCAAAAATTGTAAAGCCTAGTTTATCAATAAAATTAGGGTTAAATACAAAAAAATTTCCTGTGGTATACTAAATACATAAAAAAAACACCTCGTAGTTTCAAAACATATAAAACGACACCTCATGTTTTGAACTAAATTGTAAACTGATAGAATTCGTTAAAGTTAACGAAAATGATAGTTTCGGCTGTTAAACTTACCAAATTCTGTTAAATTTACCGGATTTCGTTAAATTTTTAGTTAAATTTACTGGATTTCATTAAATTTAACAAATTTTGTTAGTTTGCAATTTAGTTTAAAACATGAGATATCGTTTTGTATGTTTTGAAACCATGAGAGGCTTTTCTGTATATTATGTATACCACAGGGGACTTTTTGTTTTTAACCCATAAAATTATCTTCCGTTTCTAAAAAAAGGAACAACAATTGAATGAAGTGCATCTGATAATCGGGGAGCCAATTCAGCAATCGACCTTTGATTAGGACAACTTTGATGAATATTTTATGAAAATGAAGATTTTGGAACCCCATAAATATGAATTATTAGATTATCTTGATACGCTTACTAACCAATTAGGCCTAGTTCAAAATCATTTAACTTTTTAAAGGGGTGAAAAGTCAACAGCATCTCATACCTAATGCTTTCTCTGATGACCCATTATATCTTGGCTATTTCTATTATTACAATAGCATCTAAGGCCACCCTCAATGTTGGGAATAGAATTATTAATCCATATCGAGCTTCAGTGGCTCCAGAAATAGTTCAAGACTTGATGTACATTGGAGATTAGTGTAGAAATCTTTATGGCATCAAGGAGAAAATAAAAGTGAGTTTTACATGGCTAAATTTCACTATTTATTAATAAGTTTTGACTTTCTAATTTTCTAAAATTTTAAATTATGTATATCTGATTCTAGTATATGCATTGAACAATGAAAGAAATTGAGCTTCCAAAAGTTTGATATCCTACATCAAATGTGATTAGATCTACCAAATTTGAAAGGGTAAATTACATTTTACCCTCTGTGATTTACCCTTTTTTACATAACCCCCTATAGTTTCAAAAGTTATACATAACCCCCTCATGGTTTGAATTAAAGTGTCAAAGTAACGGAAATAGTCACTCGTAACGGAACTTCTAAAAATGTCGAAATTACCCTTATAAATACATGACACATTAACCCCGTATGATTTTTATATTTACCATATAACCCCCTTATGATTTAATACTTTACCATATAACCACCTTATGATTTTTAAAATATACACTTAACCCCCATTGGTTAATACATAAATTTCAATTTTACATAAGACTATTTTTTACATTTTAGGTGACACCGTTATGAATGATCATTCCCGTCACTTTGACACTTTAATCCAAACCATAAGGGGATTACATATAGCTTTTGAAACCATAGGAGGTTATGTGAAAAAACACTAAATCACAAGGGGGTAAAGTGAAATTTGCCCAATTTGAAATTTTGAGTTGCTTAATGATCTAATTTTGTCTTAATATGTGCTTTGAATTGATACGGATTTGTCATTTTTAGTTATCGAACTTGCTCATGGTTGAATTGGATGGATGTTGGTTTCTATCTTATTGGCATTTTTAGAGCAACTTCTCTTGTCGCTTCTTTTATTCTTGCATCTTCATCCACGGTTGTATTGGTGATGTTGGAGTACTAAGCAATATTGCCATTGTCAAGTTTTGTCTGTCAATTAATAACTGATAAAACTCTCCAAGTAATATTAGAAATTAACTACTAGAAAAAGTGATATAGTACTTTTTTTCACAAAATTATCTTAAATAATTTACAATCCAAACACACTCAAATTTAACCAACCCGAAATATTTGAATGAAATTCAGAGGGGCGAAGTAGCCTCATATTTTACCCCCATTTTGGGGCTAGAGAATGCCAGATGTAAAATAATCAACCCGATCTTCTCTCCTTGTAAGTACAAGGAAATTAGAAGAATATTTCTAAGCTTCTAATATTTTTTTTCCTTTTTTGGTTTTCGGGGAAGAGGGAGGTGGGGATTGTTGGATTAGGATGCAACCTCAGACAGGAAGCCCTGAATCAGAAATTTTCATTATCTTCTTTTCCATGGCGATCCTTTGTTCTCGGAGATGCGATGCCACTGAAGCAACCTAATCCAGGAACAAAAATGAAGAAATATTCACCCCAATCAACTTAGGGATCAGCATCCAATAGGTATACCAACCAGAATAAGGTTGAAAATGCAGTGCAAAATGACTTACTTCTGCTCGAAGTTTCAGAGCCTCCCTTCCAGGAAGTTCCCGCAGTAGATCCATCAAATCTATCAGTCGCGTGTAGAAATTGGATAAGCAATCACATAAAACACATAGCAGAGATCATGCATTTTAAAGGATAAATTATCAATCCATTCACAGCCATAAGGTCCAAGACCATGCCGCGTACTATAAAGGAAGAGGAGAGCGAGGAGATAAAGAAATATGAATCTAATCAGCAGTTTGGTACACATCGAGAACAATAATGCTAATGACTATTAAAGTTCCCCTTAATGACAATGGGTTTACCAACATTCTTGAAATCTTACGTTTGGCATTTGTAGTGTACTGGGAATCAACTTTTTTCTTAATTGTTACTTTTCCTCCTTTTACTTTTTGTCCTTTTCTTTCTCTTTTCTCTTACCTTCCACTTCATGGCTCTTGCTTCCTTCCTCACCCATTTCTCTCAGCACTGCTACCCCCACTGCCACCTCTTGCAGATTACCACCCCTGAACCCCATACTCCAATAAAGGAAAAGCAGAATACCAAATGCATTTCTTGAAACTACAAAACAAATCTCTCATAGCAAATAATTACACAATAAACAAAGGTTCAAACTCAACATAATAGATCCATCAATCTTAATTCAAACTACAACCACCAGTATACCCCAAATTCTGTAAACCAAAATACTATTTAAAAATGGGGGTCGCAAATCTTCTTTAACCTTGGTTTAAGTCGAGCAATATATGGACAACCACCATCTGAGATTAAGGGCTAAGGCCTAGTTTGTGAGTTTAGAAAAGCCAAAAAAAAAAAATAATAATAAAGGAAGGATAACTTCAATGAGGGGAGACAGGAACAGAAGGGAAGAGAAGTAAGAGGAGAGTTTCTCTCTAAGCTATTTGGCAGTTTTGGAGGGAAATGTCGTTGATATTGAACTACTTCCAATCTGCCATTGTTGTTACCTTTATGCATCATGTTGAAGTTTTCCTTCCATTTCATCCCACTTTTGAAAGGGACAAAAAAGTGGGATTTTATGGGGTTTAAAATCCTTCGATTCCCTTCCCTTCTCTTCCCAAACAGGTGATATATAAATTCTTTCTTGTCCTCCCTTTCCCTTCAATCCAAAAGCACCCTGGGGAGTAAATGGGTAGGCAGCCTGGGGAGGGGTGCAGGTGGAGTGATGGCTCTCATGTCTTTCTGCAATACCCTTTTTTTTCTTTTAAGTAAACATGAAAAATGTAATCAAGCTAAACATATCCACTTCATTCGGCAATGACTAAAAGAATAGGATGGGGCAATGAAACCCATAGATTTATCCCCTTGATGCCTCTTCCAAACACCAACAATCACTATGATTCAGGTTGAAAAACTCATTCCTTAGTCCCATAAGCCCCACAATTTGTTGCAGGGCTTGTATACCCAACATACTTTTGCCGCTTCATAGCCCTAGTGTCGGAGTTGCAGCTACAAATGGGGAATCAAGTTATATGCACACACACACACACATGTACATATATATATATAAATATATACACTTAAGAGCTTTTTTTCTTTTAAAGAGTAAGGAGACTCTTGGCCTTTGCATTTTGACTTCATAAAATTCAGGGTGTAGGCCTAGGGCTTATTCCAATCTGAAGATAGTCATAAATCATAAAAGCGAGCAGAATAAATGAATATACTGTGAGAAATAAATAACCAAAGCAAAGATATACAAAGATTAATATTAGAAATCAGAGACCCCAGAACAAGAAGAAAACAATTCAATGGGACATACCAGTAGCTTTAGTTTCTGCCTTGTGAACAGATCTTGCAAGAGTTTGAATCTGAACTCCAGCATTCCTAACATAATTTTCAATAATCAATGCAGGAAAGAGACTAATCATAGGTATGGACATCTAAACAATCATAACAACTTCTACATGAGGTCAATTTGGCCATGTTTCATTTCCTTTTCAGCAAGAGCTGCCCTTTCAAGTAGCTTTCCACTCTCCTTCTTCATCAAGTCAACAGAAAGGTTCAACTCCTTAACATTCTTTTCAGCTCTAATGAACTGCGCCTATAGAAGAACAGAAACCTAATTAGCCAGTCAAATCTCACTCTGAAGGACTTCAAATAAACTTTCATATGAAGAAAGCAGTTATCCTTCTGCCAATTCAGTTTAAAACTAACAAAAAATGTAAACACTCATTAATTCATTCTAACAGTTTAAAAATATATATCTATTTAAGATTGTCCAGAAAAGAAAAATACCTCCTCACTTTGAAATCGGCCCAATGTATGACGGAAAAGAAACCTTCTCGGTCCTGCAGATAAGACCTATTAGATTTCAAGAACTAAGAATTGTGTAGAAATTTACAGGTAGCATCGTACACTTCACTAACTAGTTAAACTTTATTCTTTTTCCTGCTTGCAGTGAATACTTGACAGGAATGATAATACAGGGTACAGTGATATGATTGTTCAACCAGAGAGTTGACATCTATAAAGAAATATCGAGAAGTGACTCCCAGGGCTCCCCGTATGCTTGACTCAGGACAGCAAGGATGTGAGCACTTAATGCTAAAATGCCTGTCCTGAGGAGGTTTTCATGCACTACCGTGGCAATACCTTCCTAAAGTAACTAAGACATTAAACTGCTACAGTGACTCATGAATCTTACCTGTCAAGAGTGATTCTTTTTCTCTGTTCATTTTCTCAGATCACTAGCTGTAGAGGAAATCACTAGTTATTCTCCTACTAAATGTTTCTATTAACCAACTTACCATGACCTAAACCCCTTTTGTGTTAGGCCAACTGGAAAACCCAACTAAACCAATAAGCTCCCAGTACAAAAGTTGGTAATGTGACCACAATATGTGGCTTATCAAATGAAACCTGGTTGGCACAACAGGCTTTATATTTCGAAAGCCACGTTAAACAAAAAAAGGAACTTATCTACAAGAAACATTTGATACACTGAAATTGCAGAAAAATAAATAGGGCTGCAAAAAATCAAGCTACTTATGAGTAGCTTGATCAGAAGATGACTTGAGCTCAGTCAGTATTGAGCTCAAACAGTTTGTTAAGCTTGATGAGCCAATCTTAGGCATTCTTGTATTCTGCTAGGGAGCTTGTCAAGCTTTTCAAGCATGCATATGTATACATAGTTTATTTTTAATATACAAGTAAAATTTCCTAAAAGACCCGCCTTCCTTGGATAAATTACTTCTTTGACCTCTCTAGCCTTATATGGCAGGTGGGTAATTTTCTCTAATTATATTAATGCAAAAAAGATTCAGTCTAAAAATTGACAAATTATCACATTGCACATTCCATCACTTCGTTGACCAGAATATCAGGCTCATATTTCAAATTCCAACCAGAGAAACCCATCTCCCCAGATTACACAGCACCTGGAACCCACTGGAGAACCCTCCCTCTCCACCTCTCACCACTTCTGCTTGAAAAATCCTTGCTTGCCCCTCGCCTCTTTCTTACTCAACCTCATATGACCAGATCTAAGTTGGCCAACAAAAGATCTGAATGGCACGGCGACTACTAGCACCTCTGCTACCACCAAACATTGATCAAACATCCTACTTCCTGATCTAGCAGAGAACGCAATATGAGACGCTCTTTCACTCTCTCGTGCTAAAAAGAAATTCTATGCTGGCACAGTGAAGTTTAAAATCTGCAATGGCTTTCAATGAGGATCCAGAAAGAACAAAAAGAATTGCAAAGGGCCCTCCTATAAACCAAAGAGAACACAATGCACAACTCTACTGTTATTCACTTTTATTGTATTCTCATTGTTGTGTTAAATCTTTGGTGTTTTTGGAAAGTATGTAAGGTGCATTTGTTGAGAAATCAGAGATGGGGTCAAAATTTCTTCATGTACAGCTTATGTTTGATGAAATTCCTTAATCGGTTGTTTGCAATTTTTTTCTTTAGTCAACTTTACATTACTGAGTTTGAACTCTCTAAAGATTCAAAACATCAAGCACAAGTTCAAGCAGTTTTGTTTTCTGACGAGCTCAAGCTTCTGACTGCTAACTAATAACAAAAGCCAGAAAAACAAAACAAACAACACATGCATAAATACATGTCAAATCCAAATTTTTACCTCTGAATAATAGGAGACCAACAGCAACAGCAATTCCACCAGTCACAGCTGGATTTTCTCTAACTTTAGTCAATTCATCTAATTTACAATAAGAGAAAAAATAAGTTGTCACGAAAAAGGAGAACACACTAACAGAAAATATCTTTTGGTTTAGAAAACCGGCTGAATACCCAGAACCCAATAACTGGCCTTGAGTGATGAAATGAGCCTTGACAGGGCATCTATCCAATTCCAGAAACAATTAATGGACATTAGCTAGCCTTCTACATAGCTGGGAATAGTACAAAGGTAGAACTATGGGCATATTGGCATAGAGCGAGACTGAGAGAGCTTGTGCCCCAGCTCAATAAGTAAGTGTAAAGGAATCTTCAATTTTACATGGGGAAAATCATGTGTATAAAGGACGGTCATTCCTCAATAAAGCATTAAACTAATCACCATGAAGTGCCATACACTTATCTGGATAACATTTATGATAAAACTGTAATGACCCTTTTAGAGTAGTAAGTTATAAAATAAAATTCCAAAGTATATATAGAAATTATATTTAGTTAATCAAATTCACCTTTAATTTTCAGGAAGAATGCATCTTCATAGGTTCTATACTGGCTTCCCAGTTGTGGCATGAAATCCTGCAGAATCAAAGTTTAAGAACATTAATTAAAGAACTAAAATAAATAAATAAGGAAATGCAATAATAAGAAGATGGCAGAAAACAACACCTTAGACAAACAAATATGGAATTCATATCCAAGTATATGTACATCAAAGCCAAAAAAGCACTGACTAAAAATTCACCATCCAATCAGAACATCAATGGTGGTACTTGAAGCAATAGAAGCTGGCAAGAGGACCAAATTAATTGGAGCAAAAATAATAAGACAAACATCACAAAGACCAATCAAGGTCTTACTCAACAAGAACGGAGTTAATTTTTTTTTTTTCCAACAAATGATGAAATCCATTAGAATCAATTGAAGACCACAGCTTAGTTCCTCCAGCAACCTTTGCAAGGTTTGTCACAATAGAGGCCAACTGTGGCGCAATTGTCACTAACCAGAAATGATACCCAACATACACCTCCAGAAAGAAATATGTACACTAAAAGTAGAATATAGACTCGGAATTAATCAATATCGGGCTAGTTGCATCAGTTTCGGCCAACGGAATTCCTAGACTTCGTTGTCGAATTGTCGAATTTTGACATTGCTAAAATTTAAATCTATGTCAATCCTCACTGCCAATGAAGGTTATGAAAGGCGTGAATCTTGGAATCCTAAAGAGAAACAAGAAACAGGGATGCTAATATCCAGAGCGTTGGGCAGAGTCACGAACAAACAGAGGAGAAAAAAGAAAATCCTATACCCGAAGAGTACGGAAATGGGTAGAAGAGGAGTGGTGGAAGGAACGGGCGGAGCGGAGGGCGGAGTCTGTAGACTGCTGGACTGTACGAGGAAGATCCTCTGAAATGTACGAGTGCCATGTCTTGTCTGCCTTGTCCGACTTGTCCTTGGACGGTGACGCTGAGGTAATTGATGACTCCGGTACTTGTCCCGTCTTCGTCGTCGGTGGCGTCAACGTCTTCTCGTCCTCTGACATCCCTTGAATCCTAATGTCGTCCTTCCCAACCTACCACTGGCTCAGAATCTCCGAACAAAATTGTGCCAGAAGACTGTCTTTGCCACCGTCGGGAGATGGGGGAATTTTGCGACAAATGCCTGCCAGTTACTACTCAGTAAGAACAACAAAGTAGAAGCGTAGGGAGGAGGGGAGGACTAGGCCAAAAAATTGCAAATGCTGAGATCCTACTTAAAAAAAAAAAAAAAAAAGGATTTTTTCTTCGCTCACTTTTAAAATTATATTTTTATGTACCTTACAAATTCACATTAATTAAATTTGATCCCTACCTACTAGATAGTACCTAGGTTTTGGACTAGTTTTTTGTCGGAATTCATCACGTGTCTTGCGTATGATCATTTTTAATGGCAAAATTATCCAATTAAAATTTACATAATTCCATATATAGTTCCTTACATTTCACAAAATAAATTATTTTATCCCTCATATTTTATAAAATAAATTTTTTAATCTTTTACATTTTACAAAATAAAATTTTTCATCATTTATTGACCATGTGTATGAATAGATTTTTTTTTTTAAATTCATGTATATAACTATTTGATTTCACATGAAACAGTACGAACAGTATGTAACATATCTCTATTTAATTTTATCTAAACAAACTAATTGTAATTGTATACATGCTATTCAATAGATATATACATAGGTTTTAATCTAACAATTTTGTTATAAACCTATGTATATATATATATATATATTTAATTTTACCATATAAATCTATTCAATATTAACCTTTCTCATTTGATAATAACTCACTTATTGAGTTGTGTAATAAGGCCATCTAATTAATTGGTCTTAATTCGAATTCTATAATCATGCTAACAAATTGCAGTATAAATCTAAAATTTTCACTCGCCACCTTTAAGACCAATAGTTGAATTTTTTGTCTTGTGATTATTTTAAAATTTGAAAGTGTCAATTACTTATTTCTTTTTATCATATTTTCCTTTGTTTTTTTTCTGTCCAAATTTAATTTGACAGAAAAATATATTTGATTTTACCATATGAATCTATTCAATATTAACCTTTCTCAATTGGTAATAATTCACTTATTGAGTTGTGTAATAAGGCCATCTAATTAATCTGTCTTAATTCGAATTCTATAATCATGCTAACAAATTGCAGTTTAAATCTAAAATTTTCACTTGCCACCTTTAAGACCAATAGTTGAATTTTTTGCCTTTTGATTGTTTTAAAATTTGAAAATGTCAATTACTTATTTCTTTTTGTCATATTTTCCTTTGTTTATTTTTTTTTCCAAATTTAATTTGATATAAACACTTGATAATGTTTAGGATTAAGTTTCTTCTTTATTTTCAATTTTCAAGTAAAAGGAAATGGACATGAATGAAAAACTTTTAATAATTGTTTTGAACCCCTATATATGTCTATTTAATTTCACCTAAACAGTACGTTCAAACGAAATCAAATAATGATACATTGCATGCTATTCGTATTATTCAGATAGAATCAAATAGATATATACATGAGTTTAAAAAAAAATTATTCGTACACATGATCAATGAGGGATGAAAATTTATTTTGTAAAACATGAAGAATGAAAAAATTCATTTTGTGTAATGTGAGGGATGAAACAATTCATTTTATGAAATGTGAGGGACAATAAAATTTATTTTTTGAAATGTGAGAGACTATGAATCGAATTATGTAAATTTTAATTTGATAAATTTGCCCTTAAAAAATGATCACGTGCAATGGCACATGGTGGATTCTCATAAAAAATTAGTCAAAAACCTAGATAGGGACTAAAATTGACCGATGTGAATTTATAAGGGATGTAAAAGTATACTTTTAAAAGTGAAAGACGAAAAAAGTTATTTGTAAAATATGAGGGACGTTTTGAACGATTATTTTTTTAAAAAAGTAAACAACAAATAAACAAGTAAACATTTTCCTTGCGTATTCAAAGTAAACAAATAAATGTAGCAAATGCAATCCTAACCAACCGAAAAAAAAGAGTGAAGCTCTGCAATTAAAATCTATAATTTTCAATATTATATGCTGATGGATAAAAGTGTATGTCAAGGAGTTATTTTATTTTTTGGCAAAAAAAGTTGAAAAATAGATATCATTAATCTAAATTTGTGGAATGTAAGATTTTGAATTTCAAATTAGTAACACAAAAAATTCTAGTAATTTAATTATAATTTTACATAATCTAGAGTCTTACAGTATATTTATAAATATGAATTGTGGAATTGTAAGGTCATAAGAACAGAAACATGAGTTTAATAACTATGAAATTAAACTTTGTGAAGAGTTCAAATAGCCTACTTAAAGTGGACTCGAACTGCATTTGATATAGCTATTAGGTCAATCAAATTCAAATGACATGAGTCAAATATTTATATAATTTAAATAAAAGATATACATTTCACACTAATAAATTGAATTACTTAAACTTGACTAATACGAATTTAAATTAAAGCATTGTTGGATCAAGCTTGCAATTAACTTGATTGGGTTTGAGTCATTTGCACCTTGTTAGAGACTCTTTCCCCCCCCCCCCCCCCCCCGAAATGATAGGTTTATAATTGATACACGCGCACGCACACACACATATATAGATATATAGTATTTGGACAAAGATCCTATAAAATAAAAAAAATATGTATAGTGTTTGGACAAAGGTCCAACAGCATAGCACATCAGCACAAAAATACTATTGTCTCTTCTTTTTTTTTTTGACAGATTAATTTTATGCATTAAATTCAATTTTGAAATTAGGCCATTTGTTAGATAATTTTTTTTATTTGACAGATTAATTCTTGTTAAGAGTTGCAACTTGCAAAACATTTACTATAAGAAACTCGAAGGGTCGATGCACAAGCAAGGGATCGATCGATCTTCGATCCCCTGAATTTATGCAAAAGAAAGGTTACGCAGCTTTTAAAAGAAAAAGGGGCAAAAAAGAAAGAAAGAAACAGAACGAGGAAAAGAGCCAAAAAAAGAAAGAGGAAAATGTTGTGAGAGACTGCACAGAAGATGCAGCGAGAGAGAGAGAGAGAGAGAGAGAGTTGTTTCTCTAATTGAACTGATTTGTTGGTTCTGTTAGCCGTCAAACTGACTTAAACGAAGTAGTTTTGCTGCGACTGGAAAAAAACGCCGCCGGCCGGCGATGTTATGAGAGAAAAGGATTCAGAAGAAGATTAATCGGTTTCTTTCAACTTTGAAAAAGGCAAATTCGTTTCAATGTAGGCCGCCTCTGCTTATGCATATGCCTATGCCTGTGTCCTAGTTCTACTGTTCCCTTTTCCCGCGCTTAATCCAATTATCTGTCACTTTCTATTACCTACCGCCTACCATATCCATTATCCCTCCGCCCTTCACCTCCACCCAGGGAAGAGAAAGGAAGGCAGGACAGGGTTTTCCTGTTGGTTCGATTCTGTTTGACCTGTCCGCCCGCGGCCTCGCCTGTTTGAATCAAATCCCATCCAATAGACGAGCTTCTCCATAAATAGGGAAATCCGGTGCTGGAGAGGGGGGGCCGATTGCCTTTGGAGTCCAGAATTTATGATGCGTTGTTGTTGCCCTGCATTGAGAACTCAGATACAGACGTGGCTTCGCGATTATGATAAGATTCAGTCTTCCGCTGTTATTCTCATCTACATTCAAGTATGTAAACTTCTCTTCTAAACTAACTGTTCTCAGATTATCAACCTTGAATTCAATTGATTTTCCTTGCGTATTCTTTCATCTCAATGTTTTGATAGACTGTTATGTATGTTTGTATTGACCCTCGCTAGCAATATTTACATGTATGTGCAGTGTTCTCTCCAATAATGTGCGTGTATATATGTATGCATAGTGTATACGATTAATGTCACATATGAATTGTTCGATTTCTTGGACGGATAGATGATAGTAACAAATTTACTGCTGCTATTGCTCATTAGAGAAGAATAATATCGATGCTCAGTGTTTAGCTGTCTGTCAGATTGGTTGCTCATTGATTGGCTCACTCGGGGCACTCTACAACGGAGTCTTGCTGATCGATTTGGGAATTGCCTTGTTCGCCCTGGTTGCCATTGAGAGTAGCAGTCAGAGCCTTGGGAGAACATATGCCGTGCTTCTTTTCTGTTCCATTTTGCTTGACATCACCTGGTTCATTCTCTTTGCACGTGAAATCTGGTCCTTTTCTCTCCTTTTTTCCATCTTTTCCCATTTATCTGCATAGCACATCAGCACAAAAATATTATTGTCTCTTCTTTTTTTTGACAGATTAATTTTATGCATTAAATTCAATTTTGAAATTAGGCCATTTGTTAGATAATTTTTTTTTTATTTGACAGATTAATTCTTGTTAAGAGTTGCAACTTGCAAAACATTTATACTATAAGAAACTCGAAGGGTCGATGCACAAGCAAGGGATCGATCTTCGATCCCCTGAATTTATGCAAAAGAAAGGTTACGCAGCTTTTAAAAGAAAAAGGGGCAAAAAAGAGAGAGAGAAACAGAACGAGGAAAAGAGCCAAAAAAAGAAAGAGGAAAATGTTGTGAGAGACTGCACAGAAGATGCAGCGAGCGAGAGAGAGAGAGAGTTGTTTCTCTAATTGAACTGATTTGTTGGTTCTGTTAGCCGTCAAACTGACTTAAACGAAGTAGTTTTGCTGCGACTGGAAAAAAACGCCGCCGGCCGGCGATGTTATGAGAGAAAAGGATTCAGAAGAAGATTCATCCGTTTCTTTCAAATTTGAAAAAGGCAAATTCGTTTCAATGTAGGCCGCCTCTGCTTATGCATATGCCTATGCCTGTGTCCTAGTTCTACTGTTCCCTTTTCCCGCGCTTAATCCAATCATCAATCACTTTCTATTATCTACCGCCTACCATATCCATTATCCCTCCGCCCTTCACCTCCATCCAGGGAAGAGAAAGGAAGGCAGGACAGGGTTTTCCTGTTGGTTCGATTCTGTTTGGCCTGTCCGCCCGCGGCCTTGCCCGTTTGAATCAAACCCCATCCAATAGACGAGCTTTTCCATAAATAGGGAAATCCGGTGCTGGAGAGGGGGGCCGATTGCCTTTGGAGTCCAGAATTTATGATGCTTTGTTGTTGCCCTGCATTGAGAACTCAGATACAGACGTGGCTTCGCGATTATGATAAGATTCAGTCTTCCGCTG